GCTTTCCTTTGTATGTGATTTGTTTCTTTTATTGCTTGTAGTATTTTGTTGTTCTGTTGGGTTTCTGGGATCTTGATTATTATATGTCTCGGTGTACATGTGTTTTGATTGTAGCTAGTTGGGATCCTATATGCCTCAGTTATCTGAATGTCAAATTCTTCCCCTCTGTTTGGGAAGTTTTCTGTCATTAATTCTGTGAACAGCTTTTTAAAGTCCTTTGTATTTTCTCCTGCTACTTCATGGATTCCTATCAGTCTTATGTTATTCTTCTTTGCATCATCTAGGAGTTGTGGATCAATTTCTCATGATCCCTTACTGTTTTTAAGAGACCTCTCTTTTCATGGTCACTGACTGCAATCTTATCTTCTATATCCGAGAGTCTATCTTTGCATTCTTTTATTCTGTTGCATACACTTTCTATGGAGTGTTTAATCTCCTGGATATCTGTTTGAATCTGTTTTATGGATTCCATTTCTTTCCTATGCTGGGCATTTATTTTTTCCATTTCTTTCTTATGCTGGGCCTTCATGGCTTCTATCATGGTCCTGAGCTCATCTATTTTTTTGTCAGTTTCTGCTCTGGAGTCTCGAATTGCAACTTCCATTTTGCTTACTATCTCTATGGTTATCTGGGAAATTATTTCTGTTTTGAATTTTTCTAGAGCATGATTGATTTGTTACTTCCTGTGTTTTGAGTTCAGGGTGTCCTGGTGGTTCACTATCGGCCTTTTCATCCTCATTTGCCCTACTGTTTGCCATTGGTGAACTGGAAGTCTGTCCTTGTGTCTTGCTTAAGTGTTTTCTCATTCTTTTTTTTTGTTGTCAGACTGTCCTTAGTTTAATCTCTGGGTTATCACCCAAATCTTCCTGATATGGTTGTGCCCTAGCTTCTGTGTCTCTAACGACCCACAGACATTATCTTCATAACATCAGAGAAAACAGCTCATCAAATCAACAGCAATGCTTTATCCCAACTGATACAATCAGCAGCACATTAAGATCAAGCACAACTTGGACACTGACCACCTGTGGTAGCCACTAGTCTATCACCCTTAAATCATTTGAATTAAATTGAAATCAAGAAGCAGTCCAGAACATGTCTGCAGTGAACAGAATTTTAATATAGCATATTTACCATTTAATAGCTCAGACAGAGTGAGGATGCTAGACCCCTGGTCTCAGTTAGCTGATGGCTCAACCCCATGACGCTGACTGACCTCGGGCTGCAAGGCCCAGATTGAGTTCCCCAACCTTCTGAATGGTTGAACTCCACAACGTTCTATTACAGGTTTCCCACGCCCTTTCTTTAAAGATGTTAAAAGTTGGGAACTCAGAAAAATACCCTTGATGACCACCTCTGCCTCTGCAGAGTGGGTCCAAAGACTGGCACAGTCAGGAGGTCTGAGAGTGTGCCGGGGGAGGGTATGGGGGTTCAGGGTGCCTGTGGAGCTACCTTCCCGGCGTTCAAGGTATGGCAGCTGGGGAGGGAGAAGGCGTGGCTCTCCTTCCTGGTGGTGGATTGGGGCCCAGGCTACCTCCCGGCACTGGAGCGATGGCTGCCACTGGAGTGATGGCTGCCACTGGAGCGATGGCTGCTGGACCAGGCCGGGAGAAGGCGTGGCTCTCCTTCCCGCGGTGGATTGGGCTTCCTGGAACTCACTATGTAGCCTAGGCTGGTCTTGCACTCACAGCGATCCTCCTGACTCAGCCTCCCAAGTGTTGGAATTACAGGCATGTGCCACTCCTCTGAGATATAATTCGCATATAGTAGGGCAAGGGTGGAGGTCCAGGTCACTTAGCGAGACAGCTTCCAGATAGCCTGGACTGCAGGGGTGGCAGGGAAGCAGGACAGGGCTCCCCAGGATCCCCCACAGCCCTCTAGTGCCATTTACTTTTAAATGTTTTTCTCTGCTGGACATTGAAGCCAGGGCTTTTATACTGAGCTGTACCTCCAGTCCTTATTTTTTACTTTGAGGCAGATCTCATGAAGTTAATTTTCCCAGGTTGGGCTCAAATTTTGCAGTCCTTTTGCCTCACCTTCCCAGAATGCTGATATTTCAGGGTTGTACCACCATGCCTAGCTCTAGGTGTGTATTAGTCTGTTTTTTTGCCAGGGACTACACGCCCAGGCAGGAGGGTTTACACTGGGTCCCTGATCCTTCTCATTGGCTGTTTACTGTTCCTGTCTCAGTAATACTTCCTCACTTCCTGTAACTTTAGGTTGAGCCTCTATCTAAGAAGACACAGCTTCTCTTATTGTGTTCAACAATGCTTTGGCTTGTCGTCCTTCCCATCTCTTATACATTTAGAATCAGATTGCCCTGTTGTATGAAAGAAGAAGGTTAGCACTCCCCTTGACAAGGATGGTAGAGGCCCTTGGGCCTGACAACATGCACACGGCTAAGGCATTGCCACCTACTTCGTGGCATCTAACCATTGTCTTTTAGGGGAAAAGGAAGTAAGGGAGAAGAGGAAAGAAAACATGAGAAAATGAAAAATGGCAATAATGTATTTGTAAATAGGCAAGGGAGGGGGTTAAGGGAGTGCAGGGATAAGGGAGAAAATGAGAACCAAGACCTGTCATGTAAAGGTACAAGATACCAATGATGAGTGTAACTGTACTGTATACCTAAAATGTACCAATAAACTCAATGAGAAAAAAATAGTCAGATGGTCAATTTCTTTTTAAAATCCTGTGGGGATTTTTATTTTACTCAATTGGTTGAATTTTTAGTTTTTAATTGGCTTTTATTTTCCCAACCTGTTTCTGGTTTCCATTTTGATAATGCCTTATCAATGACAATATAAGGATCACTATCAGAAAGCAGGGATGATATTTTATATGCTCTTCTAAACATTGAGCATGTCCTGAAAACAGAAGATCTTTCAGATAAGGCCTGTAACTAGGAATTACAACAGTGTTAGCGTAACCATGTCATCAAGACTTGGGGGTTCAATCTGGTGTTTTATGGGAACCTCACATCCCAGGAGAAACAGATGGAACTTGTGTGTCTGCAGAAACAAAACTGGCAGCCTTTCCAGTTTCGGGGGGTGGGGGGCAGGAGGTTCCATAGATGAATTTGAAATGAGCCAGATTATTTAAAGATATTGTTTTAGATAATCTCTAAAAATGAGATGAGCATATTCTAAATCTTCTAATATCTTAAAATGTTGTTTTGCATGACTGTCTTTAAAACTGAGATAATAAGAATGATTGGCAATGTGAAACAGGAAGAAAAGGGCTCAAAGTGTAGGGAAGTGGGAAAGGTTAGGGGAAAGGAAATTAAGGGGAAAAATGGGAAAATGAAGATATGGAAACAGTTTTTGTAAATGGGGAAGGGAGGAGGGGGTAAAGGGAGGGCAGGGGTATGGGGAAAAAAATGAGAACCAAGACCCGTCATGTAAAGGTCCAAGATCCCAATAATGATGAATCTAACTATACCTTAAAAATACCAAATAACCAGATCCTAAATCATTGTTTCTTCTTCTTTTTTTTTTTAATCTCCTAGATGGCCTTTTAAAAAATAACCACGCCAGTTAACTTCTGTGCCCAGAGTTGCAGTAAGGAAAGCCAGACCGTGATGCATAAATGTGTTTCCAAAGCAGGTGCTACAGATTTCTCAGGGCCCTGTGAGCCTTGCATCACCTGGTGAGTGTGAAACACCTGAGAGCTTGCCGTGGTCTTGTGTAATAGGTTAGAAAACCAGAGCCGCCCACCGACCTCCGATAATGTCATTACTGTAAAATCTGAATTACCACACTAAAAGTAAATATGCCTTTATAAAAATCTATACCAATATTGCAACTTAGTATAAAAAATTCAATTTCATTTTATAATGAATGTGCTACCTTGAGACTCAGTTCAACATCTGGTCTACAACATAGGAGCAAAGATGCCTGGCGCCACCATGCTGTGAATCTCTGGACCATTGACCATGGTGTGGTAGCTTCTCAGAGGGTTGAAGGCTCTAGCATCTTCCTCCAGGGAAGCCACCCCGAGCCCAACATAAAAGACTCTGCTACCCGTCTTTGCTGGGGGGAGTCGGCGTGCAGTGGGGCAGGCGTGTGTTTTGCCAGTTAGGGGGTTGGTGGGGGCACCTCAGCAGAGGAAGCGATGTATTTGAGTGCAGAATACAGAGTCAAAGATGTAGATCCCTGTCCCATTTCAAATAAAGTGAAATGAATTTGAAGGAAGTTGTTCACTCAAACCTGGGGCCATGGTCTGACTTCGGCTTGGCACCCTCTTGTTGCAGTACTGATATGATCTTTGGTGAGCTGGGGTCCAGGGGATGAGTGGGTGTACTCCGGATCCACTGAGATTGCACAGCAGGCACTTCCTGGGCTGGGAGTAGCAGGAAGGAGCTCCCTGTGCATGGCCTGGGCTTTGGGGTTTCAGTGGAGCTGTTCGGTGAGCAGTGATGAATCTTCTGGAGAGGGGCAGGCTCTTTTCACTGTCTGGAGGCTGACAGATCTGGATGGATCCTGGTTGAGGCCATCACTGGGTTTGAGAGCTGAAAGGTGATCTGGTATTTATGACACCAACTGCTAGCTATTTGTCAGGGGATTTTTCTTTCCTTTTTAGTCAGGGAAAGAGAGGAAAAGGAAGCAATCCTTGTGGCTATTAAGGCCATTAATTATTAAAAATACCATTAAGGCACTATTTGATGCACAGCTGGCTGTAAGTTGGAGTTTAATTACTGTCCTCAGTGTTCAAATTGCTATTTGACTGTGTAAGCTCTCACTCAGATTTAACTAGGAAACTTGGTGTAGGAACTTCATACTTCTGACTCTCAGTCTACTCCTTATCCAGAAGCACAAATGTTTAATATATGCAAAGTTCAACAGTGCTGGCCATTAGAGAAATGCAAATTAAAAACACTGAGATTACATCTTACCCAGAAAGAATGGCCATCCCAAAATAATAAATGTCAAGAGACTGGAGAAAAAAGACCTTTCTGCATTTTGATGGAGTATAAACTAGTCCAATCACTATGTAAATCAGTATGGAGATTCCCCACAAAGCTAAAAATAGAAATTCCATCGAGCCAGCTATTCATCTGGTAGGTATCTTGCTGAAAGAGTTAAGATATCATATTACAGTGCTAATGGACACATATTTATAATAGTACAACTCTAGCTAAATTTGGAAGCATCCTATATGTTCATCAACAGTTGAATGGATAAAGAAAATATGGTATTTACACACAACAGAGTCCTACTGAGCCACACAGATAAACTTCAGTCATTTGTAGGAAATAGAGGTCTCCCCTGGAGACCATAATGTTAAGTGAAATTGGACACACAAGTTTAAATATTGCATGGTTTGTCTTGTATGAGAAATCCAAACTATAAAGAGCAAATAACGGATAATGGGAAGTAGATAATTTTTCTCCAATGGGAAGGGGATCAAATGGGAAGATATGAGGGGGAGGGGAAGTGTTAGATTTCCCTTGCCTTAAGATGGCTGCTACAAAGCCTGGCACGGTGGCACAGACCTGTAATCCCAGCACTCGGGAGGCTGAGGCAGGAGGAACGCTGTGAGTTTGAGAGCAGCCTGGGCTACATAGTGAGTTCCAGGTCAGTCTCAATTATATAGTGAGACCCTGTCTCAAAAAACCAAAAAAAAAAAAAAAAGATGGCTGCTACATAAAATAGCCTTCTTCCCATAATACCCTGCTTCCCACTTAGGATATGGCTTCACAACAGGTCCCATTTCCCACCAAAGGAATAACCTGGCACTTGCAACCATCCTAGCAACTAGTGATGTCACAGGCTCCTCCAATCCCTAGCCACCATATTCAACCTCACTGCCAGCTCCCATAAAAACTCTCCTACCATGGACACACTGCTGCACTTTTTCCCTTCAGAGACAGCCTGGCAGATCATTCTATACTAAAGGCTTGCTGTGGTTCTGGCCTGGTCTTGGATTTCTGCTTTTACCTGACAGGAAGGAAAGATGAAAAGGGAATTAAGATGTGTTGTTTACATGTACCAGTTCCACACAAGGAATGTAATCATTATGTACTGCAAACATGCACTAATAAAATTTTTTAAATTGGAAAACAACTTGTTTGAATCTATACTATTTAAGTTCCCTGAGAGCAAGGAGTATCTCTGCCATAGTTTGGATCCGGAACATTCCCTGAAGACCCCTGTGTCAAAGGCCGAGTGCCCAGCTTGGCGCTGTTGGGAGATGCTGGAGCCTTTAGAGGACTGGGCTTTGAAGGTTTCTGGTCAGGGGATTCGTCATTGCCCTGGACGGGAACGTCAGGACCCTGGCTCCTTCCCCTCTCTCTGCTTCCCAGCCACCATGAGGTTGAGCAGCTTCCTCTGCTGTGTGCTCCTGGCAAGCTGCACTGAGCTGCCACAGCCCATAGCAACAGGGCCTCTTGGCCATGAATCGACACCTCTGAAACCAGGCCGCTGATGAACACAAAGTCTATTCACTGAGGGGAGGGAGTCCTAGGGCTTAACACCTGATGCACATCTGGTTCTCAAATATCAATTAGCAAACGCTGTATCTTCTTGCTTCAAACTTCTAAGATAATAAACTTCTAAGATAAAAATAATAGCTTCTAATGAATATTAACTCCTTTATGCCAGTTTCCTTCAGTGTTTGTTGTTCGTTTATTCCGGAGAGCACCAAGCTACATCCCCAGCCCTTTTGCTTTTATTTTTAAACAGTCTGTAGCCCAGGATTGCCCTTGAACTTGCAATCCCCCCTGCCTCACCTTCCTTTGTACCTGAAATTACAGATATGTTTCACTGTCTTTAAAGCAGCTACTCATCAAATTTAAAAAAGCCCACTTATATAGATCCCTTGTTCCGAGTGTTATGCTCCCCCAAGAGCCTCATGTGCTCTAGGTGGCGTTCTGGAAGGAGGATTAGAGCATGGAGGTGCTGTAGCCGGCTTGCTGTTAAAGGTGGGGTCTGGTCAGAAGAGGTGGTCGCTGGAGGCGTGGCCTAGAAGGGTTTATCTCTCCAGCTCCTCCCTTCGCTCTCCACTACCTGGTAACCCTTAGGCGAGCAGCTGTTTCCCCCAGAAAGATCCTTCCGCCATGCCTGTCCTGCCTTGAAGCCAGACGACCATGGATTGAATCCTCTAAAACCTGTGAGCCAAGCTAGACCTTTCCTCCTCTAAGTTGTGGGTGTTGGATACTGTTTCTCAGTGACAAGAAAAGTGGCTAAGACAGAGTTCTAGCAATGTCCAGACAATCTTAAATTTTGACCATGAGTGTAAATAAGCACTCTTGGGAAGAATGCTTGCCTAGCATGTGTGAGCCCCCCGCACCAGTTTGACCCCCAGTACTGGAAAAATAAAGCAAAACCAAAACCACACACAGCCAAAATGTAGCGTTTGCATGCTGTTCTTGTTTTCTATTTCCACAGGCCAGGTGGGTCTGTTAATCCAGACTTTGTAGGCTTAGCCCAAATGTGTGGAGCAG